TTGATTGGTTAATTATCACGGGTGATCACATGTAGATCCATAAAAATTAGCCAATCATATGAATTTCTTCCTATGATTCGGATGTAACTATAAAAAGTCTTTCTATGAAGATCCCTGAGGTTTTAAAAGGCGGTTTTGCGTAGAATTAAAAAGAATTTTCCAATGCAGATCTGAGGCGATTTACATCAAATTTGGAAAAGTTCCTGACTTAACGTAATGAATCCATAATTTTATCTAGGAAAATTCATCGTTTATAATGAACGATTCGGGTTTGAGGTTATACTGTAATGATCTTGAAGATATTAAAGTTTGTTAAGGATCGACAGCACGAGCTATGGGAACACATTAAAAAAAAATATATTAGCATTGATTATATTAGAAAGTAGTACATCGGAATTCGTGTACGTACGTACGTACGTACGTATCAGATTGAATGCATTCCTGATTTGTAAGAATGTTTTATACGTACGTACGTACGTACGTATTAGAGTAGCAAACACGGCTCGGCTTAAGGTTAGCCGGCCTATAAACGGCTTGGCATTAGTTTATAGATCCGAAAGACCGGTAAACCGGGCCGAAGCAGCTATTAATAGTTGGCAAAGATAAATATTAATTACCGTTACGTAATTGGGAATCCGGAATTAATAAGTTGATTATATTTGCCCTCTCCTGTCTCCGTTCAGATGCATACGTACGCTTCCTAACCATACGTACAAATCCTTAATTGGGCGTTACGTTAATAAAAGTTAATAAACAGTGCGGAGTTTATTAACCCGAGAAGCAGTAACGGACTGTGATATTACTGTTACAAAAAAAAAAACAAATAAATGATGTAAGAATGAGAGAAAATAAATTGGATAAAATTAATGAAAAAAAATATATATATATATGAGTGCGGCTATCGATCTTGTTTTTTACCGTGATCCTAAAAAACAAGACCCTCAGCCGCACTCATATACATAACGATAACGATTTCTCCCAAACTTAATCAAAAATCTTTCTTATAATATTTCAATTACAACATTTTCAACATGGTTCTTATTGAAATTCCAAAAGAATACGGATACGTAAGTAACAAGTGATAAAATCATTTTTCATACTGTATGAAATTTATTTTTTTTATCTTATGATTAGGTTATTGTCACTGGTGTCGCTTCGATATTCTTTACAACATATCTCAGTTGTAAGTGGATTTTTTTTTATTTATTTAATTTTTCCTTATTATCTAATAAGGGTTTCTTCACGAATCTAGTTCAAGTGGGTGTATATCGTAAAAAAGCGGGTATCCCATATCCTAACCGTAAGTTTGAAAATCTGATTATTGTTATTCTGAAAAAAAAACTACACGTGGCGAACTCAATGTTTCTTTAAAATAAAGTGTACGCAAGCAAAGAAGAGGCGGAAAAGGATCGAAACAAATTAATTTTCAATTGTTACCAAAGAGCTCATCAAGTTAGTTAATATTTAGCATGCATATTTTATTCAATCACCGCATCATGTGGTTAACTATTTTTAATTATAATTTTTTTTTTTAGAGCACTCTTGAAATTTACCCTCAATTCCTTTTAACGTATGGTTCTCATGAAAACCTTGTCATATGATAATACAAATCTTTTAATTTTTAATTTATTTATTATAGTCTTATGGTTGGTGGTCTAAGACATCCTGTCCTCTCGGCTGTGGGTGGTAGCATTTGGATATTGGGTAAGTTTAAAGTATGACATTCATTTTAAATATATATATTGCAATACATCTTGATCACGTGAAAAACAAACAACATTCATAGGTCGATTGGCTTTCGCCCGCGGCTATCAAACCGGTGATCCTGCGAAAAGAACTCGAGGATCCTTTGCTTACATTGGTGTTCTTACATTATTGGGTACTAGCATTTCTACTGCCATTAGTTTGTTAGCACAATAAATTTTTGAAAATTAATTTGAGAGTAGATTTGGGACTTCTTAAAACTACTTGAAATGACAAAAAGACAGTTTTTGAATAAATGTATTGCAACTAGTAAATTCCAATAATTATGAATAATATCAAGAATTGCTAATAAACATTTAATTTTACAACTAATAAACCAGTGTCTAATGATGATTCATCTATGAGTTAATTGCCCATTATTCACGAATATCAACAATAACACCTAAACATTAAAAATATTATAAATTTGTTACCAATAAAGAAATATCTTGAGAACATGAGAAATGAAAAAATATATAAATATATATTACCAGTTCCGACAGTTTTACCACCTTCTCGAATAGTAAATCTCATACCAGGTTCAACAGCCATATCATGCACAAGTTCACATTCAAGTGTAATGTTATCACCTGGCATAACAAATTTTTCATCCGGATTTTCGGTACCAGGTGGATACGTCAATGTAACAGTTACATCAGATGTTCGAAAATACATCTGTGGTCTATAATTCTGCATGAATGGTGTATGTCTTCCACCTTCTTCTTTTGTAAGAACGTAAACTTGTGCTGAGAATTTCCTATAAGATTTAACAGTTCCAGGTGCGGCAAGAACTTGTCCTCGTCGAATTTGTTCTCGTTTAATACCACGTAATAAAGCTCCCATATTGTCACCAGCCATTCCTTTATCAAGTTCTTTGTGGAACATTTCTATACCGGTCAATGTGGTTTTTACTGTTTGTCCCATACCAACTATTTCAATTTCAGAACCTTTTGAGACGGTACCCCTTTCCACTCTACCAGTAGCAACAGTACCTCGACCAGAAATAGAAAAAACGTCTAATAATTTTCAAAAATTAAATTATTTAATCATTTATTTAAACATGACAAGATCATAATAATAATAATAATAATAATTACCTTCAATAGACATCAAGAATGGTTTATCTAAATCTCTTATAGGAGTAGGAATATGTTTATCAACAGAATCCATTAATTTTTCTATAGCTTTTTCACCAATTTCAGGATCACGACCTTCAAGAGCAGCAAGAGCAGAACCCATTATTATAGGAGTTTCTTCACCATTAAAACCATATTGAGTTAATAAATCTCTCATTTCCATCTCAACTAGTTCTAGCATTTCTTTATCATCAACTGCATCAATTTTATTGACAAATACTACAAGATTAGATACACCAACTTGTCTAGCGAGAAGTAAATGTTCACGTGTTTGAGGCATTTGACCATCTGTAGCTGACACAACGATGATCGCACCATCCATCTAAATGAAATGATAAAATTATGAAAAAAAAATAGGAAATTAGTTTAATTGTTATAATTTATAGATAATTTATGTTCCAAGGTTTACCTGAGCAGCACCGGTAATCATGTTTTTAATATAATCAGCGTGACCAGGACAATCGATATGAGCGTAATGTCTTGAATCAGTTTCATATTCTACATGAGCTGTAGCGATAGTAATACCTCGAGCTTTTTCTTCAGGTGCTTTATCAATTTCACCATAATCTTTAAATTTTGCTTTTCCTTTTGATGCCAAACATTTAGTGATTGCGGCAGTTAATGTTGTTTTTCCATGATCAACGTGACCAATTGTACCGATATTTACATGGGGTTTAACTCGTTGAAATTTTGTCGCCTCGGTAGCATAAGTTCGAGTATAGTTATTAACCGAAATTATTTTACGTAATGACGACACCCCTGGAGAATGATGAAATCCTGACGAAATCTCTGATGAACAATGAAACCTCTGACGAAAGATAAATAATGTTAGGGTTGCAATTTAGTCTGAGATATTACACAATTAGATAAATTTTTTTTCTTTTTACAAAACATAGAATTTATGTAAAGAATTTCTATAAGTGCTGCTCAAAATTTTTTTTTTCAATCGCTAATATTCATTCAAGATAATATTCATTAACAGCTAAAAATACTAAAAATACTACATACCAGGTTAAAACTATTTGAGACAGGTTTCGTTACACCCAGAACTTTAATAATAGTAAAAATGTATATATTTTAATGTTTACATAAATTTTAATTAACTTTTTTGTTTGAAAGCACTAAATTTCACTACCACTTGTAAACTTGATCAATTTGGTGTTTTAGCTTTTCACTTACAACGACGAGCCGAGCTGTTCAAACACCGCTTCGATGTCTGGGCAGTCACGGTCCGTATGTAGAAGGTTCTGAATGAAAACATTATGTTATGACTTTTTTTGATTATGAAAAATCGAATGATTCATTCACATTTTTTTTATATATCAACAGATTATCTGCACGTGATTTAAACATACGAGATGAATATTGAAAATTTCTTGAAATTTAGAATACTATGCTGCATAATTGATGTATTGGTTACAAATAATTATCTGTACACAAAGTATTATGCTTTTTTTCTATTTATTAACAAATTTTGCGAAATTATTGTATTAAATTTAACAAATATATCAAATATAATAATATTACTCTTCAGGTTTTTTGTTAGTGTCTTTAATCGTATATTTGCCGTACTATATAAATAATTTTGAAATTAGTTATTTGTATAATCGATATAAAATTTTTTTAAAATAATAAACAATAATAACATACATTTTTCTCTGGATCATAGACTTCCCATCGACTTGCTGGAAAAATATGTTTATTTTTTTCATACCAATTTCGTTCAACAACCTTACCTGCATGTGACTATCATTTTTAATTAAAATAATTCTTATTACCGATATATTGATAGAAAATAATAATAATTATTAAAAATTCAAAATACAAACCTCATCTTTTTCGACTGTAGCATCATGTGTTAAACGAACGTCATCATGAACATCAAAACTAAACAAAGGACCAGATTTCCCTCTTGCTTTATTGATGATGAAATCATAGAATGTGTAATGCTATTTGAATAAAAAAAAAAAAAAAACCTTTTTTTAGTAGCAATAGAAACATTGAACGAAACATTGAACGTAAAAGATACAATAGAATTTTAAAAATATTCGCATACATGTGGAATAATTAAATCTTCCTTAACATAAATCAGGTTATCAACGCTAACTCCGCGCAACTCATGAAATTGCTGCCGACATTTTTCTAAAAAACTTGCGATAGAATCGCCTTTCTTACAAGATACAGTTTTTCGATGACCAGTACCGTCCCAGTAAGAATATGTGACACTAATTTTTTCATCTAATAAGAGATGAAATTTGATTGAATTAATAAAGAGCTATATATAAAAAATTACACAAGATACACAAAGCGGATCCAAACTTTTGATTTCTTCC